GTGAAAGCCCGGATACGCAGCGTGCTCTTTGCATGACAGTGCTGAGGAGCTCTCTAATGGCGCGTGATGGCTTTCAGCCTGCAAGGGATTTCAAACACCCTTGTGCAGGCAGCGCTGGTAAAGGCAGTGGCACAAGGAGCAGTCAATTTACTGAGGTGAGCTGTGGAGCCATGGTATCATATCTGATCCATTAGAGGATTTCCTGACCTACAGAATTAGTTCCACTGGCTTATATTTTTTGCACTGACTGTTATTGTTTCATGTAATTTACGGCTAAAGCATGCTATTATGATCCTCTCGACTGACCTTTCAATGTATTGGAGGCAGTAGGATTTCTCTTGTGATGCTCAAACTGGGGCTGAACGAGAAAGACCTTTAAAAGATGCCTAGTGATCAAGAATTCATAAAAGCCTTTAAAATAATTGCTGCAATGACTAGTTAACCCCATTACTAAACTTTTACACTGTATTTCTGGCCTGAATTTTAGTGTGGGGTTTTATTTTTTTTCTCACTGGCAGGGGGAGGGTTCCTGTCTCACCGGCTAGCTGCCTCTGTGGGATCTCCAAACCCACAAGCAAGTCATCCCGCCGTGTCTTTCCTGAGGTGATCGTAGCGTGAACTTCCTTTCGATAAGCCAAGTTCTCCCATCGCTCTCACCCAGGTCCCTGCACGGCCTCCAGTATTTTGATGCATGGGTGCTAGACCTGGTCACAGTACGCCAATAGCTGTCTTGCTGCTGCCAAATCCAGAAGTGATGTAACATTTCCCTTTGAGCTCGTGCTTTGACGCTGGCCATGCGGGACTCTCACCAGTCCCCTTTGCCACAGCAACATGCTGGGAGCCACGCTCTGTCAGCAGCGAAGCAGAGAGCGTTTCCTTCTGCCATTCACTCTGCACACTCACGAGGCCGGAGCTGTGGGCCATCTGCAGTTGATTTTTAGGACATATAAACACATTAACGTCTTGATTTAGCAAAGCGTTTGGCATTCCCTGTACCCCAGGAGATATCCTGTGGTGATGAGGGGCAGCCACGCGGGTCCCTCTTCCCACCACCAGCTCACCTACCAGACGGGGCCAGCACTAGGTGACATGCGGCGGGCAAAGAGATTCGAATCATTTTAGGGTGAGCAGCTACGGAGCAGGCGATAGCGCAAGGTCTCACATGGCTTGCCCGTAGCCTTTGCAAAAGGCATTGGCAGAACCGAGGAATTGCGTTTTGAGTCACGCCAACCTGAGCTCCGCAACGCTGGCAGGGAGCGAGGGTGGCCAGGGAGCCGTGGGGAAGCCCCACCAGCCACTGCTGGGGCACATTACGGAGTCAAGTAACTCTTGTCTCCAGTGAACGGGCGCTTGGTTAAGGACAGAACAGGCTTTCATTCAGGCTTTCTTGGCCTTTTCACAATTGTAATCGATGGCCTTGCTGGACTTGTCAAATGCAAGACGAAAGACATACTTGGACTGAGGCGTCAAGAGCCGAAGAGTTAACAAGGGGAACAATTAGCTGGTGCTTATCTTATCAGCCAAAAGTAAGGGGGGATAGCCCATCACTGTAAACCCAGTGATCTGCGGGGCTCCACGGAGGCTGTGCAGCCAGAGATTGCTTCAGAGATTGCTTTGGATAAAGCACAGATGGCCCCCGAATGCACATACCAAGATGCCCGCTCCGAAGGCGTGTCGCACTGCTGAGTCCCGCTTCTGCCGACACGACATTCCATGCCAAGAGCCAGTCGATGCCCAATAATTGACTGAGTCCCACCTCGCAAAAAGATTTCCAAACATATAAAAACTGGCACTTGAAAACTCTCTTTGGGAGGAGGAGCCAAGAAAGAACTTCACCTGGCGGACGGGTCAACGGGCCTGAACCTTTCTTTCCCCCCCAAGAAGGGACGCCTTTTTGGTAAGAGTCGCACCTCTGGCTGTGTCAGACGTATCCCCGGGAACACATTGTTAACTAAAGCGCTAAACTATTGCTTTGAGCTCAACTTTTGTAGAGAGTGCATTTGTCAAGGGCAATCCCCAATCTGTGATACCTCTTGCTTGAATAAATTACCTTCTGTTTCAACTTTGTGAAACTGTTTCAGTGAAAGTCCTTGGCGGGGCTCTGGCAGGCAAGTTGAATCTGGGAAGTGGCTGCACACTTAACCCTTTAGACATAAACCGTTGACCAAGTCTGGGACTAGGAGTAGATCCAGCCGCACCTAGATTCTCCTCTGAGAGAGAGTTTAGAAGGCAGGGGGGTCTGCTCTGAACCTCGTGACTCAGCGGGAGGGCTCTCCTTTTGCTGCTTATCAGACTCCCCTTACCTCCTTTAGCGCGACAACGATAGATGTGGACTTGTTATGCTTGCTGAAGGAAATCTTGCGTCCGCTGTGGGTATTGGCTGGGACAACGCACAGTAGGAGCCCTTATTCTGCAGCTTCTTCTGGGCAGTTTTGTTGACTCTCTGATCCTTTGCTGGAGCCACAGGTTATCCAAGTGCAGCCCCACGGTGAACTAAAGGAGATCATCACAGCCACCTAACGAACGCGCTCTGTGCCCAGGGGCATTGGGAACGGCAGGGCCCAGAGCCCGGCAGAACACACCAGCATCTGCTAAATTTTCATCTGCAGCCAGCATGCTGCTGAAGCAAGTGGAGAGCAGGAGGCAGCAGCTTGTTTTGGTGTGAAGACGCTGCACTGATATGGAGTTTGTACCTGTAGGTGACTTTGGAAGTGGCTTTTTCCGCACTGCAAGTGTGGCAGCAGACAGTCCACGTTCTCCACATCTCCACAGGGATGCTCTTCCAAGAACATAAACGCTGAAGCGTGCAGCTCGCTGTAGGCGTGAGAGACACTCTGAAAGACAAAGCCCTTCCTGTTCTGGTGGGTACCTTCAGCATTAGCCTTCTCCCTCGGCCAGGAGGAAGGGCAGTCCGAGCTTGAGCGGGCCTCAGGAGGACAGCAGGGATGGCTTCCTGCACCGTGGGGTGGGCAGAAGAGAGGACAACTGCTCCTGGTTGTGGGAGCAGCTCATGAGGAAAAGGGCTTGGGCTCTCCCTCCTCCTCCTCCTCTCCCACAGGCCCAGGCTGGATACAAGGCTAAGATGCCTCATTGCTCCAGCCGGAGAAGGACCCCCACAGAGCCACTGCCATCACTTCCCTGAGAACGCCAACGTGCTCCTCGCTCCCTCTCCGCCAGTCTCCGCTGTACCCCACTAACACCGCACACGAACGCACCATTGGGAAAAGCTACCACAAACCACCCCACAGTCGCTATGTTCTCGTTTATTGACTGCAGTCAAGTTTTATTATGCCTCAAATAATTAAATACTGCAACCATGACATTAAAAATACAGGCCAGTTTACCAAAATAATTGTATTCTGAAGATTATGTACATATTATACATTTTACAGTATCATGTAAACTTTCTTTTTATACATAAGATAAATCTGATCTATGGTAACTAGAAAACCCAAAATACTTGCTGACAAAAATATTCCTATGAAACATAAGCACTTTGTCTAGGACACTTAGGAAAATTGCAAAGAATGGAAACCAACTATAAAACATAACGTAATTGAGTTAGTAGAAAAATGAATTAAATTACATTCATATAAAAAGTTAAACTAAAAACATTGCTATGTATCGTTATTAAAAAGGGGAAGAATCCCAAACCCTCTCCTTTTATACATTACACACATTCACAGGGAGCTACTGGGCGCCTCATTTCCAGCAATGGGGCATGGCCTAGGAAATCCAGATTCCCATTCTCCTTTGAACATACATTAAATAACTAGGGTCTGTACCAATACAAATATTGTATATACTCATGCACTGTGATTATGTTCATAGTAGCCTACCAAGGCACAATTTTTGTGTCATTTCCCCCCCACCCTTGCGTTTTGGCATGCAGCGCTAGAGAGGGTTGCTATTAAAAAAAAAAAAAAAAATCACTGTGGGATTTGTCTCTAGTCTGATTTTCACACTAGAGGACACAGACGCTCCTCCAGCATAGACTTAAAAATAAATACGTAAAAGAAGGTAAAGGCCTTAGTTCAACATCTTGCCCCAATCACATCAGCTCAGTTAAGACGCCTTCACCCCCTCCACGGGCCCCAGAAAGCAGTCACCGAGGTGATGGCATTGGATTTCTTCGGTCACATATTTTATGTATTAACTAGGACAACAAAATAGTTCCTTCTGCGAATCAGCATTCGTGTGACAGCTGTAGTGTTTTGATTCGGCCTAATGGATCTTCAAGTCTAAATTGGTTTCTAGCTCACATCTCGGCATACTGCCGTTGGCATTATCTGCTATGTAGTGCATGTAATTGAAGTACCTAGGTATGCTCATTAAAATAAATGCATAATTTAACTGTATATAAACAGCTGCCAAAATTAACAGCTGTTAACCTGGCTGTATTTTGAAGGCTTGTAAAACTTGCATATTTTATAACCGCTTTGCACCTACAAAAGGCCTGGTCCTGCAAATAGCGAGGCCTGTGCTGATCTTCAAGGATTTGAAGAACCTCACGAGATCACCAGGAATGAGAGGAGCCCGGGGCCTCTACCGGCAGCGCAGACTGCGCCTCGCCGTTCGTCAGAGAGGCTGGGCCAAGGAAGACAACGTGAGTTGGAGGGACCAACATCGACTGGGTTTAGGCACTAGGTGTGGTCCCTCAGGTGTTGGATGCATCTGAAATTAGACCAAGCATCTCCGTCAGACTTGGAAAGTGTATTCCAAAAGGGCCTTTTTTACAGAAAAATAACCTATGTGATGTCTGTTTATGTACAGCTTTAATAGAAAAGAAATCCTAATCTAGAGTATCAAAATACCATATTCATATAAATTTGAGAGCGTCTAATAGAAAAGTAAAAAGCATAAAACACAATGTTTTTTGGAAATTAAATATCCTAAAAAAGTTGTTGGGTTTTTTCCCTTAAAAAAAAAAAAAAAACCCAAACAAAACAGGAATTTGTGTGCTGAAAAGAAAAAAAAAAAAAAAAAAAAGAAGAGGAGGACTACATCTCCCCTCGTCTATGAGTTTTCGCTGCAACAGCTCTGCCTTCTTCCTCCTCCTCCTCTTCCTCCTCATAATTTTCTTCATGAACTTCTTTCTGGTTGTTCTCTTCTTGCACTTCTTGCTCTTGATCTGCCCCTCTGTTATTCTTCTCATCTGCCTGTTTGGAGGAAAAAAAAAGAAAAACAAAATCGGGTTCAGTGCAACTGCCACGTCCCTTAGAGCTTATTCTGGGGCAAGGAGATGAAGTCCGGGAGAAATGAGTGCCAGCTGGACGGACGGACACAGGCCAAGGTTTCCAGAGGCCTCCAGGCAGCAAGAACGGACATGGGGGTGGAAGGCTGAGCAAAAGGAAGTTGGGACAGCGTGAAATTTTAAAGTCTATGATGTAAAGCAAGCTACAATTCTTACATAACGTCACTGCGACACGATGACAGCCACGGTCAGCGTTTAATCACGTCCCCGGGCTTGGGCGTTTACCCGGGACTTACATTTTCGTCGTTTTCACCATACGGCTCTTCAGCGTTGCGTTCCAGTTCTCGTTTCTTCTCTTCTGTCAAATCTTCCTGGATCTACAAAGCACAGAGACATTTTGTATCTTTTAATTTCCTTTACAAAAGTAACCCGTGGCATAAACGGACACATTTTCACAGCTACACGTTTACAGAACAAAGATTCAAAAGAAAGGGAGGAGAGGGCATGGAGAGGTTAAAGGAGGAAAAATAACCCAACCCCCAGCAATCAGGAAACGTGCCTCCTCCGAGAGCGTATTTGACTTTTAACCACCATTTTCACAGACCCCCTTATCATCAGCTAACACATTTGGATTTCCATTCCATGTTTTAACTTTGCAGATATATTATTTTCTCCTTGTCCTTCACAGTGAGAGTGTCATGACACAGCAAAGAGTCACTGCTGACACTTCCACCCTACTGTGGGGTCCTAGAACTATTCCAGTTCCAATGGGTGATGTAGGTATCTAATGAGGTAACTTTGTCCGTGGCTTCCCAGCAGCTGAGTGATCCTTCCGCCAGCTGCTCCTGGAAAACCACAAAAGAGCAAGGGAGGACTGGGAGTGAAGAATAATCTCTTCCAACTCTATCCTTGAAGAGCGAGCAGGCCACACGGAATCTGCTTTCCAGACGTTCAGATCTTGATCTATCATTTCTTTCGTTCACATCAGCACTCTCCGTCACTTCTACGGCACTTTATGTTGAGGTGCAAATCTGAAAGGGGCATGCTTTTCAAAATAAACTCGATTTTCTTTTGGAGAATGCTGTCATGCACACCTGCTTCAAGCTGGGTGAGATGCTTCCGCAAGACCACGCCGCTCTCCCCATGGTACAAAAGCTGCTCCACCCGGCTGGGAAGCATTCGCCACTCGGAGCTGCCACCTACCCCTGCCAAAGAGAGAGCTCCCTCCCTCTCGCAGCTGCTGTCCCGTGCTCCTGCAGAGCAGCAACACCTCCTCCACCCCAGCAGCAGGAGAGCGTATTCAGCAGCTCCTTCCAGCGGGAGCTACGGCTGCCTGTGAACAAGTTCTCCGGGGTTAGGCGCTGCCGCCAGCAAACCTGGGTTGCTTTGAGGGACGTATGGGAAAGATGTGAACAGCAGCAACGTGTAATGCTTGAGCTACTAAAGAAACTATTCCCGATTACAGTATCTCAACTCTTTGGTGATTGCTCATTCAACCACTTCTCACTCTTTAATACTTCCAGTAAGCAGACTGGTCATAGCCTTTTACGAAACAGGTATTAAATTACTTCCTGTAAGCCAGCGAGTAATTGCCAGAGGCCAACTATTCCCAGTTCCTAATGCCCTGCTTTGATTTAAGCAACCATATTTTGAAGTGGTGAAGTCTAAGTGCATACCAGCTAATCTAGACAAAGCGTTCCCCATAAGGGAGTAATGAGTAGCCGTTCCTATTGCTTTTTGTGTATCATTATGTATGAAGCCGAAAATAGCAATTGATTAGGTATGGGCTGAAGAACTGCAGGGCAGCTTACGCTGGCTCGTGCCTAACGAGCATGCCGTTCAAAGGCAAAAGTGCCCTCCCCTCCTTGTCTCCTTCAGTTCAAAGCAACGTGCTAACAGCTTCCTGGCTGTTGACTCCAGGGACAGCAGGGGCTCACAGAGCTTGGGTTGCTCAGGAGGAGCGCAGATAAATCAAAGTCAGAGCTAAAGAGTAAGTAACTGGCCAAGAAAGCAGTTTGCCCAGAACAGCAGCGTGTAATTAGAGAGGCAAAGTTAATGAGGTTTTTCGTGACCTTCAGAGGACTTGAGGTCTTCAGGAATTTTTTCCTTGTGTTATGAGCGGCTTAATCTTTTCAATTATTGCACAATTAATACCATGCTGCATGGCAGACTAATGGATGGCAGCATATAAGCTCGAGTAACACTAAATGCGTCCAGAAGCGGACAGCAGAGTAATGGCAAAGACTTCCTAGGTTTTATAAAGTCAGACAAAGTGATTTGGGTTCATTCTGCAGTTACAAAAGATACCAACGTTGAACGTTAATGGAGATGCGCTATGCTACCTAAGCCCACATAAGCCTACTTCTGTTCTGTTTTCTTACCTCTTCTTCTCCCTCTTCCTGGTATTGTTCATCCACATTATCTTCCTGCTGGTCTGGATTTCCTGCCATCTGCACAAAGATCACATAAAAATTCAGTTCTCAGTGCATGCCTATTAACTTTAGAAGATTGAAGGTTAAAGCTTCTTGTTCTGGAACTGAAACTTCATGCAAAGCTAAAATAACAGCATAAGAAGTTATAGTACGTTCATTGGCATTAATGATAGCCTGGCTACATGATATAGAACTGCCCTAAATGAAAAACACACAGAAGAAAGATTATAATAAAAGTCACAGAATAAAGCCAGGTGTTCCGTACTAAGCAGGAAGACAATGAAACATTCACACTGTTAAAGACCAATGCCATAAAGCACAGATTGTATCTGCCAGGAGGATTTTACAGCTTAAACCTGGCTGAAGTGCGTGGCCTTCCCTGGAATGGCCACGGAAAGAAAGCGACCTCGCTGCTTACAGCTGACGGAGCAGTGACGGCGTGGAAGGGGCATAGAAGAGACCTGTGCAAAGACATGGAGATTGCTCTTGCAGGGGCTTGTGTGAAAGTCAACAAGCTACGAGGCCACAGCACCTCGCTGAGCAGAGCCAGTGACGAAAGACACACCAGTGCATCACCAGGAGCAGTCCCACACTTCCACCTGCACATGTCATATACGGCTTCAAAGAGATCTTTAAACATCAAAGCTCAGTGTTCCCTCGCCAAGCCGTGCTACACTGTCCTTAAGCAGGACCCGTAGGTGCTCCCTTCCCCGTTACTGACCACGAGGTGCTCTTCCACTCCTGGATGTCCTTGCTTCTCACTGGTTTGCTTCTGCTTTTCATTTTCGTCTGGTAGGTTTTCCTCCCTCTCTTGCTCGGCTTCCTCAAATTCATCTTCTCCCTGATTGTTGGGATCATCAGCAGGATTCACATCTTCCATGGCTGCCTTCTGTAATTTTCAGAAGTGAACGTTAAGTACGTATTTTTATCTCACAGGCAAATTCCATTTCACGTGCAAGCTACCTGAGCGTGACCGATGTTAAAGCCAGCTCCACACGCACTGAAACCAGCTGGAATCTCTCTACGGGCGTCAGGGTCACTAGATCAAACCCGAGCCAATACGCAAGTGTTGGCTCCTGAAGGAAAAAGTACTTCGGCACTGAATACAGGCAGGACTGCGGTACGGGTATCTGTCTGCTGAAAACCACATTTGAATCCGATGACTTATTTCACACAGGCTGTTGAACTCCTTTTTTTACTGGCTATCTGACAACTGACAATGCCCGATAAGACCAGGTGAAAAAAAGATAAGAGTTTAAATGCTCATAGCTCAAAAGAGCTGATGTGATCTTCCAGTACCAGTCTGCCCTGCAATATTACCTTGTCTGCTTCTATAATAAAACAAAAGAAAACAATACTCGCTTTCCATCATACTTTGCCATTCAGAAAGCAAGCATTTGCTTTCTGCTTATCACTCAGTAAACGAATTTCTGGTATCTTTATAGCTGACAAGTTAAAAATCCTTTAGAAATATTCACTGTACAACTTAATTTGCTGAGGGCGAGGGGAGTGAAGATGACATGCTTGATGTTCCACAACACCAAGTATGATGGAACCTGGGGGAAGGGACAGGACTGAATCCTCTGCATCCAGAGCTCTGTGCAATCAACACCACGGCTGTGTTCAGGGCTGAAGTCTGTTCTCTTTCAAGATCTCACACGACTTCTGCGCTGACTCCAGCTGGTTTCAGTGGCTACTGAGATGGCTTCAACTCTCTTAACTAATGAAAAATATTGCCAACGCTCTTTTTGACTGACCACCAACGAGTTACTCCTGCTATTCTTCTGAATCCAAGTTTACCTGTTCAAGTCCCAGGTAAGTCCAAGTCCTTCATACCACCCAGAGCACAGATCAAAGGAATGTAGAAAAGCAACTTGCTTCCAACAAGGAAGCTTTTTTTGATTTCTTCTCAAATCAGTAAGGACAACTTTAAATAGATCTCAGATGTAGTTATAAACTGTCAAACTTGTCTTCCTAGCAGACCTCTGGTTCATCTTATTTCTGTAACGCGCAATTATGTTAGATGAGACTTCTGGGTTCTCACTTAAGTAACGACTGCAATCCATGGCATCTTAATTCATACTCACGGATTCATCAGCCCGCTGATTTTCTACTTGATGCTCTGGTTCTTGCTGTTCATTTGCATTATTTTGATCATCATCTTCACCTTCATCCTGGTGCTGGTTGTCACGTTCATAACCTGACAAATTATTGACATTATTATTGTATTACAGCCATTTCTAGTTAGCCCTTTTAAGAAAGTCTCCTATACGCTAGCTTCCATACGTGCTTTTAGCAGTAGGCAGCCTTTACCCAAAGAGCTAACCTAAACCTAGAATGCTAACAGAATTGTTTTACTGCTGGTAGGAAACCGACACTGAAATATTACATAATTTGAAGAGATCAAACCAAATCCTAGGCAGAGCCAGGAATGTAACCAAGATCCACAAAGCCCCATCCTAGTAGCTTAATCAAATGGACACTTTTCCTTTCAGGAATGTGGATATGATCTTTAGTAATATCTGTATTTCAGTCAGTTGCTCCAGCCAGTGGTATGTGAGCTTCTGCTTTTAAATTGCGAGTTTATATTTGACTTGAATCCAAACTGGATACGAAATGAATACTAAATTCTCACATGAAAGGCAGTACACAAGGGAACCTGTGAACACGATAGGGACATAGATTTTATCTTACCCCCTTCCTCTTCCTGAACACCTTGCTCTTCTTCCCCTTGTACAATATCATGATCCATGTTATCATAATGAGTCCGTTGGCTGAGAAAATTAAGTGAAAACACATCATTTCAGTTTCAAAAATGTGTGGGTTTGCTTTAATAAACAAACCATCCTACTTCATCTCTGCCTCTCCCAGCTCCTGCCAGAATGGGCTCCAGTTTAGCTTTCTATTACCTGGCATTTTCTCACATCATCTTTCCTGAAATATACTTTATGGAACAAAGACTTTCTTGTCCTACTATACTAATGTCTGTGCTTGTATTTCTCTGTGTATCAATGGGATCTGCCTAAGCTAGTATATTCCATAATCAAAGCACAAATACTATGAACTGGAAGCAAAGAACCTCTCAGATAAAGGGTCTTAAAGACAGACTACATGGATCGGTTATTCGGTTGAATTAGCAGCTTTAGCTTTCATCCTGGAAGGGGTTTACTTGTGTGGTTCTTGCAGGACTGAATATTTTGACTATCAATTTATGAAAGGCTTTCATACCAAAATCCATTTAGAACACGGGTCAAGTTAATAACTAATATTTCAATGTTTCAGCAAAGACAATTCAATGGGCTTAAGATTCCAAAAGACAAAAAATTGTCATGAACAATCTTAAACTAAGCAGAAGCGTAAGGAAATGTGACTGGGGGGTGAAAGGCACGTAGAAGCTACAATGCCATGAATGTAACTGCATTCACAATTGCTTTATGATACTAACGCAGGGTGTTGGAGTCTCCGAATCATGGTTTTGTCTCTACAATGCAAATCACACCAGTCACTCTTACTTAAAGACAACATCTCACATTCAGGAGGAACTTTAGCCTACGTACCTAATGTGTATCTGACACTTGAGCTCCTCAGTAATACAAGATCATAACTGCTTAGCAGAAAATAATTATTAATATAAAACAAGCTTTAAGACGAGAGCCATTGTATGCCAGAAGCCCCTAACCTCTCCCAAGGATGTGCATGGCAATGCGCACTCGTTACTCCAGGCTTCAGAGGCTTCCATAGTAAAAGGAAAAAAAATAAGGAAAAACCTCTTTAAACTAGCGATCAGATTTATCCTTGGGAAGGAGGAGATGAGGCTCACCGAGTTCAGTTTTGGGGCAGTCTCAGTTTATAGCACTAAACCAGCCCCTTTTCAAAGGTGGTATGGTGGAAGCCATAAAACCCAGAGCACAGACCACGACAAACTCGTGTAAAAGAATTTAACCTTAGCCTGTTTTTATAGAGTTTTTCTCCTTGTTCTGCCTGTTTCTGCAGCTGAAGCTCTTTGTCCTGAAGCTGCTGCTCTCGTAGTAGCTGTCCTCGCAGTCTTTGCTGACGTAGCGATTCCTGATGTTCTCGTAGCTGATCGGCTTCCTCTGCTCTTCGGGCTGCAAGACGTTGCTGCTCTAGCTGTTGCTCATACGCTGCCTTATGTCTTTTTGTTACAGCTTTTGTTGATGTTATCTGTCAAAGCAACGCGTTAGTCATAGATTAATCATAACTTCAATGACCAGAAACAAGCATGCAGAAACCTGTGACACGGGGGAAAATTATGCCGATGCCACATGCAATAGGCAAAATTACAGCAAAGTTATTTTAAGTTTTCTTCTCTCTGCTTAAAGTTTAATTATTTTTTTGAACACTGTCTGAAAGTGTTGGGGTGTTTGTGGAGGACATGCGGAAGGAAGAGGAGATAACGGGCTGAGGGAAGCCATGCTTTTCTCACCCATCAATAATAATAGCCCCCCCAAACATATTACCAGTAAAAGGAGGTTTTGATGGCTGACAATTAAGACAACAAATATGCTTCCACTGATTTAACTGGTCATTTCAGTAGGAGTTGCTCTGAGCCTGAACTGAGACACTGCACATTTTTTTACAGTCAGCAGGTACAAACTAACTCCAGTTTCACGGCTTAACCTATTCCCCTGCACCTCTCCAATAATGGCTTCTTATCACACTGGAGCTACAGAATTTATCTGCCAGGAGTGTATGTGTTTACAAAGCCTAAGGTGAGATCAGTAAAATATATTTTCCACTGGAGATCCGATCTAGAATGCAAACCCAGGATTTGCTGCTGGTTTTACTTAGAGTCGCACAGAGCAAGGCTTGCCATTGCCGCGCCCTGATTTCCCGGGGCTATTTTAGTCATGTTCATTTGCAGTTCAAATTTCCTGTCAAACGACAGCGAACATCAAGATGGAAATGCGTTTACAGAAGGTAGGTATACCTGACAAGGAAACACGCTGCAATTTGCTGAGATGCATCAAATTAGTAAGGCAGGACAGCTCTCCATCAAAGTGCTGAAGAGAAGTCTCATTCTATCTTCTTCCCACCAGCTGCCGCAGGCCTCAAATTTAAAGCAGGAGATGGGATTCAACCTGACTGCTCGTTTTTTCCATCTGTCGCTTTTTATCAGCAGAATTAATGTTCATTAAGCCGCATTTGGCAAGCGCTGCAGTATGTTTGTGCTGAAGTTGAGCCCGAACCCTATGCATACAAGCGCTTTGAATCTCAAACTTTCTACAAATGTGCCAATAATTTTATCTGAAAACCAGTGAGTGCTCCGAATCCCAAACTCTCTACAAACACAACACTGATTTTACCTAGAAATGGGCAAGTGCAGTACAGGGCCAGCAATGATAAGAGATGCTTCCATTTACACAGCAAATCTCCTCAATTAGTAGAAAAGAAATGAGCTCCATACCTCTGAATGAAGATGATCACCCAACATGTTGGTTTCTTCTTCCCTCTGTTCCTGTTTTTTCCACTCCTGCTCTTCTGGTACTTGATCCTGTTCCTCCTCTAAGTGCTCAGGCTGACCTGCCTGCTCCATTTCTTCCTCTTCAAGTTCTTTTTTGCGTTCCTCTTCAACTTGATCAACACGTTGCTCATCATCCTCTCCAGCTTCTTGTTGCTCCTGAATATTTAGCTCTTTGGCATGCTCATTAGCCCTTCTCTGCGGATGAAAAGGCTCAGCTCTGTCCTCTTGTTCTTGGGTATTTATTTCTTCTCTGTCTCTTGGCTTCTCATTCTGCAAAGCATACACAAGATTATGTGTGTGCAAGATATTACGGATTTCATACTTTCAAGAGAGCCAAGGACCAGATACGGACACCTTTAATCCAGCCTGCAGCAGCGCAGCTCTAGGCAGGAGAGCCAAATGCCTGCTTTGGAACAAGCTACCCCTCCCGCCAAATGGTATCACCGCCTGATTCTTGGCTCTCCACCGCTACACAAGGTGGTGTACAATTGCACCGCAAAGTGGGCTAAGCCTCCTTTTATCTGAAATAGAACAGAAACCTATTACAATTCTGTATCTACTAAGGAAGCTTTGCGTTTTTATTTCCTGCAGGTTCTGCTGGCCAAGAACTCCTGTAAAACAAAACCACAACTGATACTGTAAGTTCTAGACTTTACCCACAACTTTGCTTTTTTCCTTTTTGAACATTGGATGGTGTGCCAGTTCCAAATTTACTGACTTTAAGTGTGCTACTGAAACTTTATAAAACACATGAAAAGTCAGTTTCTTCAGAACTTGTTAAAGCTTTTCTGTAACATGACATATCTAAAATTTTAGAGACCGCTTATTATCCAAAAAATTAAGATCTTCGGCAACTTCTTAAAACAGCTTACATAAACCAGTTCTAAGCGCATTTACAATAATGTAAGAAAGGTCATCCTGAATATATTTTCCTACTACTTAGTAAGATTAAACTGTTCCTTACTACCTTAGTCAAGAACTGACAATCGCATACAGTTAAACAGCTGCTCCTGTTGGAGGTTCAGCACGCAGCCAGTATTTTGCTGAATAGGAACCATCTCCTATAGCCTCCGTAGCCAGTCAGTACTTTGTACCTCCTCATGCTCCGCACCCCCAGCTTCACGGCGCGTTGGGAGGTCGCTGTGGGGAGACGGTGCTCGCACCTCCGGTCGCTCGTCTGGTCGTTCTAACTTCTCAGGCTGTCGGAAACTTGGCATTTTGTTGAGTGTGTCCTTCAACTGTTTGTATTCCTCCACCTGGGACTAAAGTCAACACATTAATTATAGTGTGTCCAAATCCATTTCTTAATAAAACGTAGTCACCTTGGAGTTAACTTGCTGGCAAGACATACAGTAGAAAGACTCGATATTCACATCGGAGCAAATACCAGGGAGAAGGGGGGGGAGCTTTTAAAATTGGTTGTTTCCACACACTAGATAGCATTGATTCATCATGGTCTTTGCAGCCAAAGTGCGCATGCATACAAAGTGTATTAGAAAAATCTCTGTGGGAGAAAGATGAAGATTTGATTTATTCATGCCAAGCAGGAGAATTGTCAAAAGGGGATGATGCATTTTCTTGGCAGAGTAAAGCGAGGGAAATCAAGAGCACCACAACTTCTCCTTTACTGGTATAAAGAAGCCCAGTTCTTTCAGAAACAGTCGTTTTAAAGTAGATACACACGTCATGAAAATGCCAAATCCTCAACATTTAGACAGGTGTTACACAAGACAACAGCCAACATACAGAACTGAGGCAAAGAAAGTCATAGTGCACCTTTGATGAAAAGCAGGAAAAAAAGAAGGAAGAAAAAAAGAGAAAATATAAATTTCTAAAGTTTTCCTGAAATGCAACAGTAAAATGTTGTAATTTGATGTGCTGTCTAACTTTGTACAAGATCAGGATACTTTCAAACAGCTTTAAAGCCCAGTGTGAGAACCCAGACTCGCTGGTACACGAGTCCCTGTGCATACAGCCTGTCTCGGAAGGTGGAGTCTGGGGGACGGACAGGGTTTGCAGAAGCTGAGCAGCTGCACACACAAAAGGCGGTGCCCCACGAGAGGCTTTCTCTGTTGCTCCAGTGGAGCGGTGGGCGTCCTTACTACCTGTTTTGAAGTCAGGGGTGCACTTCAAAATCCTTTTTAAAATTCAGGATAAAACTGGCTAGAGTTTACACTCCGTGACTGCGTACGTCATTTTGTGTGTCGTGTGGTATCATAGCAATCAATAGTACAGCAGACAGGCACGATGCATTGCCGTACAATGCATAATACTCATACGAAACAATATCCACAGTGCTACAGATTGACATGATGCAATGCGTAACAGCTCCGAAGCTAGACGCACCTCGAAGCAGCTTCAAAAGACTATGGCATCCGTTAAAACAGACGGGCCTAAAAGCAAAGCAGAATGCACAGTAATTACTCTTGTCATTCCAGAGGGATACTTCTGTTTCCTGATTAACTGTTGGAGAGTCCAGTAAGAAATTTGAGAGGAAAAAAGAAATAGTATTTATATAACACAAGACTAATACGCAGTTCTCTGATGGGTTCGTTTTCCCCCGCTCACTGACCACGCAGAGACTAATACACTAGGATGTTTAAACAGTGCACGTCCAGACCAGAATTCAAGTACTCCGTTCCACTGCACGAGTCGTTCTCAGCTGAACATTGTGATTCAAGGCCACGGCCTAAAAGGTATTAATACTGGCAGAAAGACAGGCTTTATAAAAAAAGATAATGAATCTGTCTGGGTGCTTCAGCTATGGAAAAGTACAAAGATTACAATGCCTTAAAGATTCAGGTCACAAATTCATTAGTGCAGTATTGACTACTGATATTTAATTTCTAGAATACTCTTAGAAACAGGGGGATCATTTATTGAGCTGCGTGTCTACGCGATAATCCCTTGTGAACTTTCTGTAGCTGGTTTGCAGGAGAAACTATGCAAGCGTGCTAAATACTTTCTGTTCTGAAAGAATGTGCAAGACCCTTCTGTTGCAGGAAAGGTTCTCCAGATGACAAATGCCACATTCTGACTGCAGATAGAAAGGCTTTGTGTGCCACAGGTTTTCTAATTAAAGAACTGAATCAAAGCCAGGAGAAGTATACGGAGCTTCCCTTTGGATCTGGTGAACCTGAAATCAGACCCTGCATCCTCCCATCGTGGAATTTTGGATGTTAGCAAATACACAGCGAGTAGCTAATGAGGCCAGTGGGAGGAGAGCTTAAAATTAGCTGCCAGCAGGTTTTAGTACTGGAAGTTAAGGTTCTTTGTATATTTAGTCTATGAGGGACTTTCCTGGATGTCCCCTGTTTTTTTAGTATCTACACTTACTGACATGCACATCAAGCAGAATTGGGGGGGGGGGGAGACAGCGCGAAATTAGTCAGGAATAAAAATAACTTCACTCTGCCTCATTGCCTTCCCCTCTGATCTTTCACCAACAGTCTTCCTCTGCTCCAACGTTACTCCTACTTTCAGATTCCCTGTGGCCTACACAGCTTGTATTGACACACCTGACTGAATCCGCAATGGCCTAGCGCAGTTTGCACTTCATGGATAGCTCACTTGAAAATGACATTTAAGAAAGGTAATGCTGCTGCTTCTTTCTAACTAATTGGAGTTCCACCTGGAGTTTACGTTCCTCCATCTACTCTACCTCTGTCGCGCTGATGTTCGCAGCCTTACAAACCTTCCAGTCATACACAGAGACTTTATAGTATATCCAGGTCTTTATAATGACACACGTGAATGTCAGAGTGCGGGATGTTGAACTAACAGAAGTTCTAGCGGAGAAGACAGAGAAAGAAAAGTATTCGACAGCTCTCACGGAAGCAGAGATGCTCTTCTTGTCAGTCACACATGCACTCCTGGGCCTATAACGCAGCTTTTTGTTTTCCGACAGCCCTGTGATTCGTTGCAGCTTGTCCTTAAGCGCAACCCTCTACCTCATGCATCTCCCTGCAGCGCGCAGCGTGGTGCCACCTGCGAATCCCCCATGCGAAAGGCTACATGCACAACGGTCCAGTCGGCTGGACTAGGAGAAACAGGCTGGAGGAAGGTCAGAGCTAGCAGGAGCTGCTTTCCTTGCTGACCTGCGCAGCAGCCAGTGCACTCTTGTGGTCTTCCAAAGTCACTACAAGCTGGTTGTGCTGGGAGAGTAAGTTCTTATGCTGTTGCTACACAAAAAGAAGAACATGACACGTTTCACATAAAGTTCAGTCTAAAGGTAAATTAGGCAGCCTGGGGGATTTTGAATTAGGAAGATAATTCCATTTATCTCGAAAAGGAAAGCCTGAGCTGGAATGACAGCATTTATTTATTTAACATGGAATGCATATTAAACAGACAGGGAAAGCGAGCACGCCAGGAAAGAAAATTTGGAGGCTGGGATCTGCATACCTAAACTAAAGTTAAAAGTTGGAGTAGATGCTGATGGACGTTTAAGAAAAAAATAGAGCTGGTAAACATTAATTTCGGCAAGCTTAGTTTGACAAAACACAATTCTTAACTCTTCTATACTAAGTACTTTTTTTCTTTTTTAAATGAGCATGTGCCTAAAGTGCAGGTGGCAAAAGAGAAGAAATCCTGTTCAGCCATATTCCTCTCCTTTTTGCCATGTAACGGGAACTACAAGTCTTCAGCATGGCTCATTTCTGGTTTGTTACAGTCTTGACAACTCTCCTCAGAGCAAAGCCTACCTTGACATCCTGTAGCTGGGTGTGAATGTCCTGGTGAGCTTTTCGCAACTGTCTGTTCTCCTCCCGTAAGTTATACAGGGATTCTGTTTAAAAGAAGCGACATACAGAATTTAAACCCAGTCAGATTTACAATACTAGATTAAGCACCAAAATTAAGAGTATTACACGAACTACATGACATCCTACACAATTGCTATAGTAAACATGGATTAGAGTCATTGTATGGGTTCTTTACGTTACATCTCTCCCCAGCACTATAAAAATCTTTACGTTTTCAGGCAGAAAATTGTAAAATTTCATGAAATTTTATATTAGTGCACCCAGCCTGCAACTGGAATTATGCATCACTGTTCCTGCTGGGGATGGCAGACGGCTAAATTCATTATGGTAATCTGAATCTTTAAAACGCGGAGAGGAAGCCACCCTCCTCTCCTCCTCCACATTGCATCTGTGAGCGAGAATTTCATGTCGTAGGACTCCGCTGTTCCTTCAGAAGAGGTGCCCAGATGGCCAGCATACTTAAAAAGCTTCATGTTCTGGGACCAGGGAGAGGGGCTTCTCTTCCCACTTCTTACATTATGTTGATGTGGAATATTGCAAGCAGCCACAGGCAAGCTCTTCCCACACTCCAAGCTGCTACGCTGCAATTCAGCTCAGTCCAAGAGGAGCTGTATGACTCCACTGGTGTGGTGCCAAGGCAGAACTAACAAACACAGCCTCTGCCTGCAAAATACTGCACAGACGAAACTGCAGACAGCTCCAAAACTAACTTGTGTGTTAGGGACACATGGCAGAAAGCAGACGAAAGCCCCTGATAGGGAGAGCCCCATCCTTTTGTTCTATGCAATGTGTAAGTAGGATTGAAGGGGTCTGCGGAGCGCAAAGAAACTCTTTAATGGGAAACTGGATGCCCAGAGTAAAAAACGAATACATCATCCAAGTATACACGTGCAACATGTTTCAGAGAAGCTGATACATACAGAGAAAATGAGGTCTAAAATGTACATAAAGTCACATCATAAAAAAGTGCAATCAAATCTCTGACAGAGTGACAAACATTCTTAGATTACTCTTTGTAAATGAAAAGCACAGATGCAAATCGATTTTTCCAGGTTTATACAAGTCTTAGGACTAAAAATGAAAGACTGGACAAAACAGCCACTAACACGTGACAGGCTTTTAAACGCTGTGTTTCTTACTATTTCCCTACTCTAGATAGAAACACAAAGCACACGCATGAATAGGTTTCAGAAAGAGGCCACAGGAAACCATCAAGAAAAGGTAAAGTTATCCGGAGGGCTAAGACCCATGAATGACCTGTTAGCGAGAACAGAGACGGCGCCTTTCTGTCTCACACCACACAAAACTCAACGATAAATCCACATTTTAATATGGGCAGCCAGATGCAGGTTGCATATACCCTTCAGCTTGGAGATCTCCTGCTCCTTCTCCTGCTGCAGCTGTAAGTATCGCTCCTTGTGATCACTGAACGTTCTGCTAAACTCTTCTCCTTGTTTTCGGTGATCTTCCTCAAGGTCAGCATGCTGTTTCTTTAGTTCTTCATGTTGACTCTGCGAACACCAAGTTGGACACTGGAACAGTTCCGTAACTGCGTATCTGGCTAATATTGTCTTTGGCAATTTGTTAAATAAGTCCAGATGAACAAGAACCGTTCATAACAAGAAGTTTTATTATTCAAAGCATGCTATTGCAGCTCCTTTCAAACACAAAATGATCTCTGTGACAAGCAGTCTCCTGTTCTAGGGCTACGTCACCTCACCATGCAGTTGCACTGTCCCACTGGGAGCTGCTGGACGCGCGTCTCAGGAATTCCTTACACGCAAAACTATGTAAAGTCTGATAAATCAGCGTTCCATCCAAGTAATTGCATTTGATAAGATTAAATTACTCACTGGAAAGCCTGACTAGGAAAAGCTGCCGTAAATCATCTTTTGACGGTACTGTTGTGAGAGCAGGGCACCAGTGACGCACTGACGTTCTGGAGCGAGCTGCCAGAAGCCAGCGAGGCCGCATCTCCCCAACACAGCAGCGCCCTGCAGAACTGGGGATCCCGCTGACCTACCTTCAGCATCTGGTGCTGTACACTCAGCGCGCTGTATCGGCTGTTGGAGTCTTGCTGTAGAACGAAAACGCTAGTGTTAAAAAGATCAACACCGTCCCTCCTCCAGCCCCTGTGCATGCGGTTACGCTGGAGTCACAAGCCAAGGGACCTAACTCCCAGGAAACAAACTCATCTCTCCGCTTGCCTTGGAACATAGCAAGCATATATACTGGGCACTTACAGCAGCAACGATGTATTTTAACTTACGTTACTCAGCTCACAAACTGCTCCCTAGTTTCAACGTGAAGTAGCTATAAAATCCTAATTTACACACTTCTTATAAAGAGTTCTCTAAAGGTCTCTGCTCCTTTTCCACATACAGCTTTCCTTCCAGCACTTGGTATATAAAACCAAGTTTCTTGATGGTTTTATACTTGCCAGCTGCAAGGCCACGTGTTAGAAAGTTGTCACTGTTGTTTTCCCTGTGGACTACGCTACAAGAAGGTTTCTAATGCCTTCTTAGTCCCCTTTCCCTTTAAGAAAAGTAACGTTCTGTTTGAACTACCAAAATACAAACAGGAGGATATTTTCTGAACTAATTTTCTCGAAAGATACTAGTATCTCCTACTACAGCTGAAATATTAGGAATTGCAGAGCACTTACGCACGCAGAGTAGAAATGGAATGAGAGCTCTCTCAATTAGTATTTTGCAAGACCTTCCTCTGAGCAGTTCTGATTGCAAAGCATTTCCTTCTTCTTGTAGCTCAAAAAGCATCAGCTATTAAAAACTTGTACGAGGAACGATGACTTACCCTTCCTTTATTTAGCGTTTCCTGTGCTTCTAGTTTGTAAACAAGAAAATCTACAACATAAAAGGGAAAACACTGATAGAAAAACCCACGAAGATTAGAATCTGTACTTAAATAACAGAACTGTTGCATACGTAAATTCTTTTAAGACTTGAATACTTACACAGTTACAATTTGCCACAAGATCTTCAAAAAAACTAAGGAGAATTTAACAAAATGCTCAGATTTTGACAAAGTATTTTCATTTAAAAAGTCATAGTTTCATAAAATATTTTCATTTTAAAGTTTCATAGTTTCACAAAATATTTTCATTAAAAATTTCACAACTTTGTGTGAGATATAGGGGGTACAGGCTCAAGACTATGGATGGATAATTAAATGTTATATGAACTCTCTCAGTAGAGGTGAGGTAGCATCATTCAAAAGGAAAAGGACATTTATAAATCATGTGTTCTTGTATTAAGATTAAAAAAATATGTACTTTAAGAAGCGTGAAAGTCTAGACTAAGCTTAAATAAAAGACAAACTTCCCCTCTTGTTCCTTGATCCTCTTTTCAGGATTTGAAACTGCCGGCTGGCCTTTGCCGAGCAAGGGGACAGCTCTGCGCTAGATGGCACCAGCCAGCTGTCGAGAACCCCACAGCAAGAACTCCTCACACACTCCCAATCTTTGCTAAAGCAGTTGTTCTAACTCAGCAGCTGAGCCCTCCGTGTTATGCAGGATACAGGCTTTATTCTGAAAATTGCAGTGAATTTAGAACAACAAGAGTCCGAGAAGACTCAGAGGATTGCATTCTGCTGCAGTTTCATCCAGGGCAGCTGCACAAGGAACACAACGGGCACCAACATTTCCCCCTCACACACACCTACAGCTTAGTTCTAATCAGAAAAAGGTATGCAAGCATGTGTTTACCCTTAAGCGTGTGTAAAAATACTGATTCAGAGTCTAACTTCACACCGATAGAATGCAGGAAAAGATCCCATGGTTTTGGCACAAGTTTTAAATTTTCAGCATGCCGGAGCAGGATTTACACATGCCCACACTCCACATACGTGTTAGGTTTATGTATGCTGATACACAGATATTCCCTGTGCATACTATGCCATGTTGCAGTGATCCCTAAACAGTACTAAAAATGATTACTCTATTAAAAGATTAAAAATTAATTAATTAATTAAAAAGATATACTAAAAACACCACCACAGATCTGCCATGGTGGTCCTCCTAACGTGCTGCACATCAGTGATTCATTTAAAATTGAACAAAACACATCAGAAGTTACTTTCTAAAACATTCAAGTTCTCTTAAATATCAAAGTGAAAAGCGCGTTTTTACCTTCTTTTGCTTTCTTGTGTTCAAGCCTTTCCTTTTGTAAGGACTTTTCTAATCTTGACCTGTGCTCATATACAACTGGAAAGAGAAATTTTGTACACAATTAACTCAGACAGCAATATATACAAAATACCCCACCCACTCCCAGCACGCCCAGTCAGCACTGGCACAGAAGGTGCCAGGAAAATCCCAGAGGAACGAGGTCACAGGAGAAAGGACTGTTTGCATCACTTGAGACAGTAATTATTTTTTTTTTCCCCACTATATTGATCCTGAATTTTGGATTATCTTCATTGCATAAACCTAGAATGCGATAACCGTGTAAGCGGCTGGTTTATGGGGACCGTTAGCTATGGTGGAGCTACACGAAAGCCACCGAAGCCTCTCTCCTTCTTAGGTCTGCAGGTACACATCTTCCCATGCTTTCATTCTCTCCTGCCTCGTTCGTGAAGGGACAAGGCAATAAGCCAGGCCACCCTCGCTGCCCGGGGAAATCCCTGCAGCAAACAAACCGTCCCGAGGAGGGAAGAGAGATGCCCAAGAGCGGGATGGCTCAGCAAGGTGTGGTACTGCACCAGACACGCTGCTTAGGCTGAGACACCGAGAACCTCAGATCCACTCCTAAATTCATCCAAAAACATGGGCAACTCAGTTTTCTGCGACCTTCTTTTTCTGTACAGCCTGGATAACGGCGTCCTTTTACCCCACAGCCCTGCTGAAGACCCACAGACCACACCGTGAATCGCTCGGGTACCGTGTCCCACATTTCTTCGTATGCATGTGCTCACAGCAGGTACTCGTATGCTCAAGCACCCTGTACTCACAACATCCACATAATCCAAGGAGGATTTGGGGGTTTCGGAGGGTTTTTTTCACCCCTCCAGTTAAGGGGATAAGGCAGGAAGAACAAAAGAAGGGCTAGGATAGCTAAAGCATAAAGCTAAACCAGATGCTTCTGGGTTAGGCTAGGCTACCAGAGACTGCTCGTCAGGAAATCATTTCCGTTTGAGAGTAAAATTTAATCTTCATGAATTTTTAAATCCATTTATGCATTTTGTTTAATTGAGCCAAAATACCCACATGACAGCCTTAGAGCTGACTGAAGCAGCGGGCTGCATACAGCGCTCCAGCCCAAAAGCAGCCAGCTGAGGTTCCAGGGGCGCGACCCATGCCACCCTCAGCAGCCCAGGCAGCGGCAGCCACGCCGCGCACTATGGCCCCGGCCCCCCCACCTCCAAAACCTGCACGTGGGTTTTGGGAAAGATGCTTCGACACTTCTGCCCAACTCTGCAAACCCTTCGAGCTGTTGCTGCTGCCTGGAGGGGTGGTTCTGCTGCTCCCTCTCATGCCGTGCCTCCCCTTCACTCACACTGCTATGGGTGACGGGACAGCAGGACCTCACGGTTGGGGAACAGGCTGCCCAGGGAGGCTGTGGAGTCTCCTTCTCTGGAGATATTCAAGACCCACCTGGACACGGTCCTGTGCAGCCTGCTCTGGGTGACCCTGCTTTGGCAGGGGGGTTGGACTGGGTGACCCACAGAGGTCCCTGTCAACCCCTGCCGTGCTGTGATTCTGTGGGACAGGGCACGTAACAATTTCTTCTGGTGGCAGTGCCAGCTTGTGCAGTTTTTCAGAGAGCAGCAGCGATGACCAGCAGTGCCCTGGAACACTGGGTGGCATGGCAGGAGACGGACTGCACCAGGTTTGATCACAGAAAGCAGGGACAACCTTATTTCTAGATTTTTATGGTATGACAACTGCTCTCGGTCCCATCACTGGTCCGGCAGACCGACCCTGCCATCTCTCGAGACCCGACAATAGCAGATGCCCGACACAGAATACACATGGTCAGTTTGCAGTATTTCTTTGGCACCATCTCCCAGCAACTTATGAATCCCAAAGATTGTTCGACTGCCTGCAGGTCCTTTGCATATACCACTCCAAAATGGATTTTACAGTCATGAATTTGTCTGTTGTATCCAGGTGTATTTAGGGCACCAAATACCCTCTGGCAGAGAGTCCCACCACTTCACTGCCGGTAAAGCAGCGTTTCATTCAGCCTGCGTTTTGAACATCTCCTTTTGGCTGCCTCACACAAGCGATGGGGCACATCAGTCCCTACTGACCCGTTCCTCACCGCTCACCAGGCTGAAAGAGCATTATCTGGCACAGCCTCAGTGTGCAACGAAGGAAAGATACTCAGTTAAAATTCCCACAAATACACGATTATCTTTGCTTAAACTCAGTGTAACACAAGTCCCTTCCACTGTCCAGATTATAATTTGCACTCTTCTAAAGAGTTATTAATTTGTATGAATGGAATGTGTGATTTTTCCTTCAAAACTAGGAAACTCATTTGCTGATAAATAAACCGTTGGTGAATGTAAGCCTTCAACAGGAAGCATCGAATAAAGATTTGTGTCTTGGCAGCCACACAAAACTCCTCTTGCACCTTAAAACACGTTCTTAATTCCACCCAGGTGCATTCTGCAGGCTGTTTAGCTGCTGGCTTATCTGCAAGGGTTTATGTTTTGGCTTAGAAGCTGGATTGCTAATCAATCCTTGTCACCTATCCCTACTTTGCTATTTATCTTCTAAAGTCAAGGGCATCAGTCAAGATGAACTAATGTATCAACATCCTCCGCAACAAAACAAGCGTGTAATGAATATTCACAAACTCACCAGCAAGTAAGCTTGCAGAGAAGGGAAGAAACCAACGGCAGCACTACAGTAATGGTTTTATCTGGGCACCAAAGATGGTGAATGCTGAATCACATTGCAAAAGGAACAGTGGCTGTAGCACAGCAACTCAGGAGAGAAATGAGAAATCCATAATGAGATTCCCCTCCCACACAATCAGGGTGGAAATGGGCTTTTTGGCAAACAGACCAAACCACAAATGGATTCGGAGGTAACATTTTCCATCTCGCTTCTTTGTCTGCAAGCGTACCTTCCTCAGCTCCTCCTGGGGTTTTAAGAAGTGGTGTGGTGGTGGGGGTGGGAACCCCTGCACAATAAACCCATAATGGCAAGGGCAGGAAGAAAGGAGGAGGAGAATGCCATAATTTGGGTGTTTGGGCCCGCAGTGCTCTGGACCTTTCACAGCTCATTGCCTCTCTGCTGAGCTCTGGCTCTCCTCTCTCCAGCCTGCGCTCTCCAGCATTGTCGCTACATCACAGAATCACAGAATGTCAGGGGTTGGAAGGAACCTCTGTGGGTCACCTAGTCCAACCCCCTAGTCAAAGCAGGGTAACCCAGAGCAGGCTGCCCAGGACCTGGCACAGGTGGGTTTTGAGTATCTCCAGAGAAGGAGAATCCACAACCCCTCTGGGCAACCTGTTCCAGTGCTCTGTCACGCTCAGAGTGAAGAAGTTCTTCCTCATGTTCAGACAGAACTTCCCATACTTCAATTTGTGCCCATTGCCCCTTGTCCAGTCGCTGGGCCCCACTGAGAAGAGTCTCATCCCATCTTCCTGACACCCACCCTTCGGATATTTAGAGGCATTTATAAGGTCCTGTCTCAGTGTTCGCTTCTTCAGGCTGAAGAAGCCCAGCTCCCTCAGCCTTTCCTCACAGGAGAGATGCTCCAGTCCCCTCATCATCTTTGTAGCGCTCCGCTGGACTCTCTCCAGTAGCTCCTCATCTTTCTTGAACTGGGGAGCCCCAATAACTGTACACAGCACTGCAGATTGGGCCTCACTAGGGCAGAGTAGAGGGGAAGGAGAACCTCCCTCGACCTGCTGGCCACACTCCTCCTAATGCAGCCCAGGATGCCACTGGCCTTCTTGGCAACCAGGGCACATCCCTCCCAGGCAGCGCGTCCCCACTGCTACCTTCTGCCTGCTAACCTCTGAAATGCTGCAACAAAGCTGGCAATGTCTGAATATCGCCTTTCAGAGGGCCAAAAAGGGCTAAGAAAAATTTCTGCCTACCCCTCTCCCCTTCTAGTTCATTTGCTGGCTGGTTCAGCAATGTTTTTCTCTGATGAAGAGTCCATAACGCGCACTGTAATGAAGATTTTGAGTAAGATAATTGAGAAAATGTATCTTCCATATTTTCTCACTTGCTCATTTTGGGAGCAGGTTACAGGTCAGATTTCATAAGTACACACAGGAGTTTATCTCCCATAAATATAAATTATTCCCACCAGTCAGGAACTTCCTAGGCAAGAGTCCAGACTACTACATCCCTTGTTACTAAAGCAGGGAATTTCTCCTTCCTCACCACCAGCCGGGATATGTCTGAGCAAGAATCTCCAAGGAATCAATACCCTGAAAAACATGTTTTCTATTACAGGTTTCCCAGCTGGGGGGCGGAACCTACATAAGGAATCTGACAAATTCCTACTGGTGTGATGCACCAACACAGCACTTCATAAATTATTTTTTCCTAGGGCAAGTTCTTAATTTTGTACTGATCTTTGCACAAATCATTGAACTTTGCTTCTATGTTATATTTAATAGAACGGTACAAAAAAGGGGGAAAACATTGTCACCTAATGGGTAATATGCACTATTCTAACGCTGGAGTAACTGCGGGTGTCAGTTTAATTCTTGAAGTTACCTATGCAATGTAACCAACATGAATGAACCAAGAACACGAGCCCACAGAGAGGTGATCCAGCCTCCAAGAGCCCAGAAACCGCACGGTAGCTGCGCAGCTAATTCAAACACCTTTCGCCTTCCACAAAGAAAATATCTAACAGCTCTGGAATCGATCCCAATGAAGCAAGGCCTTGATTGAAGATTTTCCTCGAACGCGGAGGAGCAGGCAGGGGGCGGGAGGCGATGCTCCGTAGGCTCGCAGGGGATTACACCACTTTGACCACTGCTGAATGTTAATTGCAACACAGGAGTCAAGCGACGTGATGAAAGCAAGCTTATTTCACAGTCATGGTTATTTCTCTTATCTTTGCTTTGCACCCCTAAGCAGTAAAACTATTATTAAGCAAAATAAGCCATTATTGTGTATTTGAAAGAAAGTATTTCCTATTTTACATTATCAGCAATTTTGCAACTGTGTTACTTTGGTATTTTGATCTGTCAGAAGCCTGATTCCAGAGTCTGAAACACCCCAGC